ACTTGTCCCAAGCTTAAAATCAAATCCATGCTGTATGATTTTAGATGTGAATTTTTTTTTTAAAATATTAACATGAGACTATTATTAACTAAAAACAAATAGAGTTACAAGGGGATCAAGCTACATAAAAGAACATCACAAGAAATTGATAATCATCAATGAGGATTGAAAAGCACCTCCCTTGGTTAAAGAATCCGCTTTAGCATTTGCTTCACGGTAGTAGTGGTGCATTCCAAACTCAATAGACTGAAGAATGTCACCAATTTTATGAAAAATAGAATAGAGTCTTCAAGGAACTGTCACTTCTCTTTTATACCATGCTATAATATTTGTTGAATCCCGTTCAAAAACCTTTCCACCATCCAATTTTGAGAACAATTTAATTCCCTCCAATAAACCTCTAGCTTTTGCTTCGTTAACTGTTGTATTACCACAAGGACCAGAGTAAGACAATAGGATTCGTCCAAGATGACCTCTGATAAGCGCTCCAAAATCTGTCGTCCCTGGATTTTCAAAGGAACTTCCGTCAAAGTTGAGCTTATAGGTATTTGAAGGAGGATGAATCTATACGGTGCTCTGGGTTGCCCTTTTGCTTTGAAGATTAGCTATTTCATAAGGATTCAATATTATAAAGCCATTGGGAATACCTGCACAATCCTTATTAGTAGAAAACCACTATGCAGCCAATGCTAAGATGTTTGATTTAATGATAGTTTCTTCCAATACCACTCCCTGGAAGACTCTTATAGTTTGCTCCTTTCATATTCCCCAAAGCACGCTCACCCAAACTGACCTCCAAAGGATAGAACCAATCTTAGAAATCCCCGATGTTATCCACTGCTGAAAAAGAGGTCTAGTATTTCTTGGAATGGGCACTTGAAGGTTGAACAATTGACTGGCCCAGCTCCACATATTCAATGCAAAGGGGCACTCCAAGAAAAGATGAGAGCCACTTTCATTGTCAGCTTTGCACAAGATACACACATTCACGATAGTGAAGCCCCTTCTTCTTGCAAGACGTTCCTGACAAAGGATTTAGAAGAACAATTGAATTTTCATGGGGACATTGATCTTAGTAGTCATTCGCATCCAAGGATCTGATGCACACTCGTGATATCCAAACAACAAACTATAGGTAGATTTGACAGTGAAATCCCCAGACATAGTGCATTCCCAAAACAATGGACTCTTCTTTATTGGGTGAAATGTATACATTTTACAGCCTATTCATCAAATTTAATAAGCCTCAATGAAAATGTCTGAGACCCTCTTGTACCTATAAGGAAAAGACCAAATAAAGTGAGTAGAAATACCCCCCACTTACCACTTTAATAGTAGCTAAGGGGTTCAAAACTTTGGTAAAAACCTTCGAGTATTGGAGTCTCAAAGGATCATCACCCAACCATCTATCAAACCAGAAGAGGGTTTGATTTCCATCACCAACCGCCTTCTTGATATGATTCAAATAAGTCTCGCTACATTAATTAATGACTTTCTATAAAAAGAAAAAATTAGACTTATTTCTTGGACCCCCAATGAAAACAATGAGGATATCCTCTCCATATTTTTCTCTTAAAACCTCCACCCAAAAGGCTATTCGCTGAGAGTGCATCCTCCACCACCATTTAGTCAATAAACTAGAGTTCATGAAATCCAATCTTCTGATACCTGAACCTCTTTCTCTAACCGAATTACAAATTATTTCCCATTTCACCAAATGTAGTTTCTTTTTTTTATCCACATTTCCCCATAGAAAGTTTTTCATTAGCCTCTCAAGGCGTTTGATAATTGCATAGGCGTTCGGAATAAAGACATGTACCATATTGGAAGATTGGATAGCGTAGACTTATTAAGGTATATCTTCATCCTAAAGAAAGGGTCTTGGCCTTCCAAAGGTCCAACTTTTTTTGAAATCTTTCTATTATTGGGTCCCATATTGCTATTGAAGGTTTAACATCCATTAAAGGAATGCCCAAATACTTAGAAGGATACTTTTCTGTACCACAACCCAAAAGCTTTGCCAGCCTGCCCATTAGATTGCTTTGACATTCTATCCCAATCTGCTTAGTCTTCCTTAGATTGACTTTCAAGCCTGATGACAATTCTGCATATTTAAGAAAAAACAAAAAATTAGTAACTTCCCTTTCACATGGAGCGCAAAATATAATGGTATCATATGCATATTGCAAATGGGACACCATAAGACCTCTATTTCCAATTTTCACACCAGAAATATATCCCTTGGAAGTAACTCCCTTAACATGACACTGAAAAGTTCACCCATCAAAATGTATAGGAATGGTGATAAATGGTCCCCTTGTCTAAGCCCTCTAGAGGCTTTAAAGAAACCAATAGCCTTTCTATTTATCAACAACGAAAAATGAGTGGAACTTAGGCACCATTCAATCCACAACCTCCAACGAGACCTAAAGCCCATATTACCCATCATGCTCTGTAACACTTCCCAATCCACCTTATTAAATGCTTTTTCAAAATCCAACTTACAAATTAAACCCCGCTTTCTATCATTGATTCTTGAGTGAATACATTCTTGAGCCACAAAAACAATGTTCATTATCTATCCCTCTTTCAAAAAAGCAGATTGTGGCCCTTGAATAATCAAATGTAAGTCCTGACGAAGCCTATTAGCCAAAACCTTGGCTATAATTTTATACAAACTGCCCAGCAAGCTAATTGGACATATATGTTTCACCTCTTGAATAACTGATCTTTTAGGAATTATTACAATGAAAGTAGAGTTCATGATAATATTAATCATTCCTCTCTAATAGAATTCATCTATTAAACTTACAAGATTATATTTTAAGAGATCCCAAAAGGTTTGAAAAAAGGCTAACGAGAACCCATCTTGTCCAGGGGCTTTATCTCTGCCTAAGCCAAAGACAACCTCCTTTATCTCCTCCAATTCAAATATTCTTCCAATTAAAAAGCCTTTTCAAGAGGGAGTCTAACAAAAGGTACATTATCAATGGACAAATTCAATATTTTTTCTGAGATAGAGGACTGCTTAAAGTGATGAGTTAACGCTGCTTCCACTTCTAAAGAGTTCTCACAATCAACCCCTTAGATTTTAAGATTTTGGATAGAATTACCTATTCTTCTTACATTTGCAATAGCATGAAAGAATTTAGCGTTTATGTATCCCTCCTTTACCCATCGAACTCTCGATCTCTGTCTCTTATGTATCTCTTCCAGTCTTAGGAGATCCCTAAGTGAGGCAATGCAAGTGGTTCTTTAAAGGATCTATGGTTGAGTGAGACTAATTCAATTAGAGACATGTCAGTCAAGTGAGATTTCAAATCTGAAAGGCAAAGGCCGATGTGGAGAGCCATATGTGTTAAGCAACAGAGGAAGGTGGTCAGAAGATACTTTAGGTAAGCTTTGACGCTTATTTTGGGGAAGCAATGCTCAAATCTTGGGTAACCAGAAATCTGTCCAATCTGGTTAAAATAGGCTCATCAGAATTGTGATTTGACTAAGTGAATTTTGCCCCTATCAAAGGAATATCCACAAGTTCAAGACTTTGGATAAAACTATTAAATACAAGAAGACAAATGTGGATTAGAGGAGCATTCAGAGGGCTATCGAATAATGTTGAAATCACTAACAATACACCATGACACATTAAATTAAAGGAAGACATTAGATAGGTCCTCAAAAAATAAAGGTATTTCATCTGATCTATTGGGGCCATAAACAACAATCAAACACCATCTGAAATCCTTAAACAAAACAGATATATGTTTAAAAGAGATGATAAAATCAATAGCCTGCAGAAAAGAAAGGTCCCATAAAATCCAGATGCCTCCAGAAAGTCCAATAGCCTTAGAGCTTATAAAATCCAAGGACCTCCTCCCCCAAATAGTTCTAAAGTTGTTTGAAAATTCGAGGCCCATATTTTTGTCTCTTGAATAACCCAAACATATGGCTTTTTGTGACGACAAAAAGATCGACTATCATTTTTGCGCAAAGGACCGTTGAGACCCCGAACATTCCAACATAAAATTTTCATTCAGAAACATACCCTTTCTTGTGCTTGGTGATCCCAAAGGAACCAGCAGACACAGTGGACACCGGCTTAGAGTGTGCACGAGAAGAATTACGTATGTCATCCTCGTCATAGTTAATACTGCATATTAGGCTATCAAGCTCTCTTTGGACCTGTCCTTTCCTCTTTGATTTTAGATGTGAAATCAGCCAGCCAATGGTACATCAGGTCCAATTCAAAATCCAAAACCTGTTCCTCAGATTTTGTGAAGTGAAATGACAAACTGAAGGCTATCAGTTTTTGCACTTGTGCAGTACTAAGAGGTCCATTATATATAGACTCATAAAACACTGTCATTGCTTGGGACTCTCAAAAATAAAATGTTTAACCTAATTGGGAGTGCCCAAAACAAAACACTCAACAAATTGAACCATTAGAGAAATGAAAACAATATTTGCATTACTTTTCAAAATAATGTAACTTCGAAGCTTCTGTTACATCATGTACTGTTTAAGATGAAGGTAGGGGTTTCCCTTTGAGGAAAGCATCAATAAGGGTGAGGGATCTCGCCGGTTGGTAACTAGGGACCTCATGGCCCGCTCCTCTAACAATTGCAAATGTTAAGCCACCCTTGTATATCACACTATACCCTCCAAACTGCATATATACAATAACATAAATAGGAGGAAAAATATCTCTCTTTCTCTCCCCTTATTAAAGGGATGGAATGGAGCCCAAGAGGTCATGTTCTAGCACCTCCCCATCCTAACCACCTAGGCTTTGTGTCCATTCCTAATCCTCTCTTTCTATCGCTCTTATGCAACGAAATCATAAAAAGAATCTGGTTGACTTTTACCTCGTGCTCGTTGAACCATGGGTACCAGTGAGTTTGAATATCCAGGTTAAGTTTTTTTATCGCCTTTCTTGTACCTGTCACTGGAACACTACTGTCCACGTCTCCACTGCACACATACAAAAAAGGTAATTTTTAGAAGAATGAAAGAAATTCTCCTTAACAATTCTTCTTTTAGGTAAATGTGTGGGAATCGATGTTTCCCACCCGTTTCCATTAAATAGAAAATAGAAATTTCTCCAGTTAATCTCAATTATCTTTCTTGGTTAGAATAAACATGAACAATGGTCAGATCCAGATTTATTCCAGAGAAATACAATTTGTAGTTTTAATAGGACTCCATGCTTATGTACAATTTTTTTGTTTCAAGTGCATGATGGTCTCAAAGATAACTACAAGTAGGAGAAACAAACAGTTGCTACAATTTGTAGTTTTAACAGAGGACTCTATGCTTACGCACAAACATTTTTTTCAAGTGCATGATTCTCTCTCTAAAAGATAACTACAAGTAGGAGAAACAAACAGTAACTACTACTGCAATTATTTAGCACAAAAGGCAAGAATATTATATCAGAGAATTTTAAGAATTTACCTAGACATTTGATCAAGTTTGACCACAAATTTGCACACATGTTTAGCAACTGAGATCCAGACATAAAAAATAATAAAACAAAATACAATCATACACTTACCTGTATAACATCACCGGGATGCCATTT